AGCTGTAGCTCGTGGTATACTGAGCTTAGGGTAGCGGGAGGACGCTGCTTTGTGTCCTCCCGTTACCCTAGGGAGAACTATGGGGAAAAACACTGACCCCATAGTTCTCCTTTAATTCCAACCTCAATATAAGTAATAAACAAGTTTAAAAGCATTGGCCCCAAGACTGGAATCTGGGGGACAACACTCACAACCTTAGTCCATTTAGAGAATGTACCATTGATCACTACTCTCTGGACATGTTCCTGTAACCAGTTTTCTATCCATGCACATACAATTTCTTCTAAAGAAATAGTCCTTATTTTGTAAATTAAGAGGGTTATGCACCGAGCCGAAGTAGACTGATTTCAGCTGTACATCAGCTGAAACCAGCCGTACATCAGCTAGCTTCGACTCCATTTGGTTCAGCTAAACATGCTAAGCATGTTCGGCTGAACCGATGTGAAGGACATGTTCAACTCAGCCGAGCCAACATTTGGATCAGCTGAGCTTAATCTCCGGCAGTTCGCTCGCTACCGTTCACCCATAGGGGCCGCACGGCAGTGAGTGAATAGCCGAATGTCGCAGAGCGGCATCCGGCTCAGTTATTCTGCTTTTCGGCTGTCACTTTGGCTGCAACTTCAACTGTAACTTCGGCTGCTGTACGGGCTATATCCGGTGACTGAAGTGAGCCGAAGGATTAGCCGAAGCTACGGCTGTATCCTGCGGCTCTTTAGTGAATAACCCTCTAAATGTTTATGTGGTACAGGGGTGAATGCCTTAGCAAAATCCAGATGTACTACACCCACTGGCATTCCTCTAATATAAATCTAAATGCCTACTCACTTCCTCATAGAATGATAGTAGCTTGGTCTGACAACATCGAGTTTTTCATAAATCCTGGTTTATGCCGGTTTTTACTTATAATACCATTTTTACTAACAAATTCTGGACTGTGGTCCCTTATGAGCCCTGAAATATTTTACATACTATCTATTTTAAACTGACTGGTCTGTAATATCCTGACATACATCTCAACCCTTTTTTGAATATTGGTACGACATTTGCTTTACACCAATCAGTTGGTACCATTCCAGTCAGTAAGGTGTCCTTAAAAATTAGACACAATGGTCTGGTTCCTAAAGAGATATGCTCTCTGAGGACATGGTTGTAAGCCATCTGATCCTAGCAATTTATATACATAAATCTTGTGTTTATTTTTTCACCTGGATTTCTGTGTACCATGGAGGTACATTTGGTGCATTGTTATTAACTATTACTGCACTGTCAAGTCCATCATTTTAATTTGTATAAACTGATGAGAAAATGCATTTAATACATCTGCCTTGTGACCAACTCCCTATGTTCATCTTTTATGGGGCCTATGTGTTCTGTCCTCACCTTTTACTGTTAATATATTTGAAGATTTTTTGGGATTTCTTTTCAATGTATTTTTCATATTCTATGTTAGACACCGTAAATGTTGTTTTGCATCTCTTGCTGTATTCCTTGTAGCTCTAAGGGTGTACACTCCAATTTGTATTTTGTAAAAGCCAGCCTTATCTCATTCATTTTCCTTCTTACGCTAGAATTGAGCCACATAGGTTTTAATTTTATTCTTAGCCTTTTTGAAATCTTGCGTTCTTGCCATACCAGCATGCCTCTCTTTCATGTAACTTAAGGCAAATGTAAGTACATTATGATCACTATTACCCAAATTGTTCCTATTTTGCACTTCTGTAATGAACCCTGTGTTATTTGAAATTATTTGATCCAACAGAGCATTTTTTTCTAGTTGCGACTTCCACCATCTGACCCATGAAATTGTCCTGCAATGAGTTCAAGAAATGACAAGCCTCTGTTGAATGTGCAGTTCCATTAGCCCAATCCAATATCCGATTATGTCTGTGAATGTTCTCATTCATCCAGGTCTTGGTATATCTGTAAAAAATAAGTCAAGGCAACTGGTATTGCTGTATTTTTCTTGAAACGTCTTCAAGAAAAAATACAGCAAGTCCAGTTGCCTTGACTTATTTTTTACAGACAATATCCGATTAATTCAAATTCTTCATAGTAAGTACATTGCCCTGTTTTCCAGCCATTTTGGTATGTGATAGGAGCTGAATCTCTTCCTCCTCTTATTACCAGGTTTCTCATACTCGCATCAATTTAAAATGTTCCTCAAGAAGTTCCAGCTCTGCCATTTTGTTTTACCAGAGTTCTTGCGTTTGCGAACATACATTTTAATTTTGTGTTAGCATGTATTATTTTGTTATTGTTCAATCTTGATTTACAATTTGATTCTGAAACTCTTTTTGCATTGGAAAGAGCAATGCAGTTCTCCTTGCCGTCTAGTATGAGCCCCGCTTTCCCCTCTTTTCCAAGCACCTCTATAAACAGTGCCCCTTTTGACCCTTACTATATGATATATTCTTGTTTGATCCCTTCCATGCCAGATTCTAGTTTAAAAGCTCCTCCAACCTTCTAACCATTTTGTCCATGAATACAGCTGCACCCTCCCCATTAAGATGCAATCTGTCCTTATATTAGAGCCAAAAAGTCAGACCATGTGTTTTTAAAAGCACTCTAACACACATTACTAATGCACCATGATGGACTTACATTTTAGAGCACCACAACTCATATGTTGTCAGTAGTGACAGCTCCCATATCTGAGCTGACCGGCTCCCTATATGCATGTACCTATGTTAAGTAGTCAGATAACCTTTGTGCTCAGATGTATAGCATACTGACTTTAGTAGCCAAAACAGTCTGGTTCAGAAGGGTTAATGATGAGAATAATACCAAATTCAGTAAATTTTTAGGTATAATGATCCAAACAATATAGAACCCTTTCTTAAGTCTATTCAGAATGGCTTACATATATTTTCATGCATATACTAGTTATTATTCCTTCCATTTTCTAAAATATAAAAATCCAATCTAGTTTTTAATATTTATTTCTAGATAAAACATTACTTATATTAGTTTTTCTCTTTAATTGAAAGCACGGTGATTTATCTGACATTTACACAAATGTAATCACGTAAGCTTTGAGGCAAGGTCATAATTTTCCCATGCTTTTTTATAAATGATTTTCAGGAACATCATAAGTTTGATAGGTAAAATAAATATTATGTTCTATTGCTCTATCAAACCCACATTCACATAAAACTGGTCAAGTCTATATTTTATGGAAGAACAGCATTGTAATACATTAATTTTAAAGGTTTTGTCTGTCTGTACTGTATATATGTATATATCTGTCCAGTTTTCACTAGTTTATGTAATCAGTGGTGTATTTTGGTTTTGTGCTGCCCTAGGCAAGACTAAACCCGAGCACCCCCCATCCCTAATTTAAATTAGTCCCACCCTTCCTGTTTAAGACATTTTGCATAACCTGTCAGTCGCGCGCACGGTGTATCTAGATTCTGACAGGTTCTACCTTTGCTATAGCCTACTTCTCCACTCCTGGTTTGATGGGCTCCCTAGTTCTGCAGCTACAATAACCATTCTCTCCTGCCCTCTCATGCTGTGCTAGTCTCTAGTACTGCAGCTGCAACACCGATCTTCTGCCTTCATATGCTGGGCCTTCTATAGGCTGCACTTCCCCAGATTCACCACCACGGAGGTTCCAATTAGCACGATGACCATCTGGATTTCAGCCCTGATGTCCTGCGGAAGCTCCTCCGCTGCCTGAAGTCAGAGATTTGGGTGACGGTTTCCCAAGATGATCCGGCACCTGAACTTCCAGTGCATCCGGATGAAAGTCACACACACCAATACATTGCACAGCATGTTGAATAGGAAGAGTAAGGAGCTGCAGCCGGCATATATGTAGGAGTAGGTGGCATAGGTTGACACGTTGGTCCCCCAGTCAAAGAAGCACCATGTCCAGGAGTACTGGCAGTAATTTATGAATAATTTATTATATTTATTTTTTTTCTCTTATCTAACTGGTTTGGGGGAAGCATTTTTGGCGCCCCCCTGGAAAGTGCCGCCCTAGGCAAATGCCTGGTTTGCCTTGCAGTAGATACACCCATGTATGTAATGTGTATGTAAACCAAAACAATGAACTTCTCGTATTTGTTTGCTGTTACATTAATGATTGATATAATTTTGTTAAACAAGGATGAGGATTTTTTTTAATCATGTGACTGTCACTTTCAAATCTTGCTGGGCTCAGCTGAAAATAACTGCCATTTAAAAAAATGAAGATCCTTATCCTGCTGTGCTAGTTTTGTGAATTGAGTCTGCATCCTTTTGTTATATCTGATTGATAAGTGCAAAAAAGTCTGGAGATCCTGGTAGAAATCCAGCGAGCTTGTGAATTCCTGAGCCCTGCCCAGGTCTCACCTGTGAATTACAGAATCCTTTGAACCTATGTTAAGGAGAAGAAAGGTGTTCTGTAGTCCTAATGTGCTTCTTTTCCTAGGGTGACAATGCTGCTCTTCCAAATACAGTTCAGTCAGTGATTATTGTCACCCTAGGACAGGAAGTGTGTTTCTGCTATGAATACTGGGTGAAAATAAAAAATAAAAAGTCTAAAGAAAACTAATGGAGTCATTACACAGTTGTAATATATGACATTTTTGTTGTTGGGTTTAGTTACTCTTTTATGAATGAATACAATGTTACAATTACAATACAATTCAAGACAAGATGTTTGAGAATGTGATGATTCAGTGGTTAGGTTGAGGTGGGATAGGCTTCCCTGAAGAGATGGGTCTTTAGGGATCGCCTAAAGGAAGTCAGGGTGGGAGATAGACAGACAGGTTGGGTAATAGTTCACTAAGGTCAGCAGTGGGTTCACACATTTATTTACTACTTAAAACAACTCCTTAGTAGTTCACTAAGGTCAGCAGTGGGGATCCCACTTTTATGTACAAACATCTAGTACAAATATATGGTCACATATTTATTGACACACGTGTAGACTATTGTGAGTATTTTGTAATTGATGACATTTGGCGTGAATTTACTAAGGTTCATTTGCTTTGCCGTTCATTTTCTTAGCACAGGTGCAGCAGTGAACAGCAGCGAGAGCCTCCCTCCGTCCTCATCTGTCAACGATATCTCCTCCATGTCCACTGACCAGACACTGGCATCCGACACAGACAGCAGCTTGGAAGCTTCTGCGGGACCCCTTGGTTGTTGCAGGTGACTAGCCGCCTGCCTGAGAAACCCCACCTTCTTCCGACGATGATGTGATTGGGAACGCATCCGTCTATCTGTATATTTGCAAGAACAGGAAAGAAAGGAAGTAGAAATGTCAAATATTTCCCTTCTAGCCTGCTTCTCCTAAAGAGTTATGTCATGCAGCTAAGCTCAAATGTATATTTAACTTATAGTTGCTCTGCTTTGGTCTTCTGGTTATGCTTACTACAAGAAACAAATGGGTTACTTCACAAACAAACAAACAAAAATTATCTTTGCATACATTATAATGGCTGTGAAATCAGCAAGTTCCAATTACCTTTTCTCATTACATGACAAAGATGTGCAGTTGCCATTCAAGCGTGTGCGTGTCCATATGAACGTATGCGTGTGCTGTACGTACTTTAATCTCATCAGAATCGTTTGAATATCCGTTCAAGAGCCTTCCATCTTTCCAGTGGATGGATGTAGATAATTTCACACTTGTACATCAGATGTACTGTATACATGCAAGCATATATGTAATATTATAAAAAGCAACACAACTGTACAGTAGTTATTACATAGAGCAGTATATATAGTAAAAAAAGGGCCTGTTTTGTGTTAGCTACAGAAATTATTGCTGTAATATAATGCTTAGTATGTAAGATGTTCGATTCATACATTTGTCAGATTGTGATAAACAAACAAAACCTTTGTATCATATGTTGAGAATGCATCTTCAGCAGAAAAGAGCATGAAGACACAAAGTACAGTAGACAGAAAAAAAAACATGGATCATACAGAAACACAGACTTTCTGATCACTTCTTCACAATCCTAATAGCAATTTATTTTTTTACATGCACAATATTTTTTATTTCAGTCCAGACGTGCTGAATTAAAGCAGTGGTTACGGTAAAGTGATCTTGTATACAGCTGTATATTTTAGTTTTTGGAGATATTTTTCCTTTATCAGATTCTGGAATGAGAAGGATATAGGTTATGCAGTAAACTCCTAAACAGCATGGTAATCATTGCCATGGCATTTTGGGTATTTTTTTGCTTAAGGTATGCCTGCTGCTTTACCATTCATTGATGTTTTAGAGATATAAGTCTCAATTTATAAAACTTTTACACAAGGACAAGGATCTTTTTTATTATTAATATTTAGCCATGTGACTGTCATTTTCAAATCTTATTGAGCTCAGATAAAAAAAATAACTGTCACTTTTTTTTAAAATAAAGATCCTTATCCTGCTCTGTTAGTTTTGTCAATTGAGCCTATAGTCTTAATTCAATTTATTATCATTCCCCATTTACAACATAAACATCGTTTTTGTCACATTAAATGGAATTTCCATTTTAATTTTTTTGCTTGATTCCTGTGTCTCCCAGTTTCCACGGAACTAAGAGCTGTAATTCCAGATGCTGGTGAAATCTACTACTGTGACCCTTCCAATGAAAATTATGCCCTGCAGCTTGCCTGAGATAAATCTTAAGCTGGCCATAGACTTTTGGTGGTTGAACCAAAAAAAAATCTTGATTCCCCCATGCTAACAGCATGGATGGGGGAATCCCTCCTGCCAGTCTATTGTATTCTGACAACGGTGGGTGTGCCACTGCCAGAATACTCGAACAGTGACCGCAGCTCATTGCCTGCAGTCACTGTTCTACTGCGATTTTTTTCAGACCGGCTCCTTCAACAAAAGTCAATTTTAAAAAATCGACTTTTGCGCACACTGATCGAACTTCAGCCAAATTAGCAGGACTTGGCCAAAATGTAACCAGTGTGTGGCCAGCTTTAGTCCACCATGTATATAACAACATCAGCATGAGAGTCTAGTTGCCCCTAATGCAACAGAGGTACCGGGTGGCTAAGTGTAAAAAAAATGGATATACCCTTTAAGATTTTTGTAAGAAAAAATGTAGATGCTTGTTATAGATATTATTGAAGAATTCATGGTTACAGCTGAAAAAGTTCCATTAAGTTATGCATCAGGGACAAAATGTATCATTGTGCTTTATGTTTTAATCCTCAGGAGAATAATACTTTGGACTCTTATCTTGTTTATGGACTTAAATGTGTTTTGTTAGATGTTGGCATTTTGTGGACTGGCTTCTGAAAAATAAAGTTTAGTCACTTAAACCTCTCTTTAGAAAGAAGAAATGTTTGACCAGACATTCACAAAACATTCTGCTCACACCATTACTTTTATTTTAAAGTGTTAATAAGTCTGTAAATAGGAATTTCATTGGTTCTTCAGGGTCATTTCGGCAGTCAACTAATGAACACCAGAACGCATGAAAATGAACTAAGAAATCAATAACATTTTGGATTATGCTTAATGGTAAATGATTTGGATGTGGGCAGAGACATTCCTCCCCCCTATAGTCATTCAGCATGCAAAGGATCCTACACGCTGACTCGGGTATAAGCCGAGGGGGGCACTTTTCAGCAAAAAAAATGGGCTGAAAAACTCGGCTTATACTCGAGTATATACGGTAGTAGGTAGTTATATGTGGAGGCAGATAAGAAAGATGCACTGTGAGCAGTCTTTCCTCTGCTCCCCTTTATTAAAGTGGTGAACCACGTTCTTACACAATTGTTATGGCTGGCTTCATATCCTTAAAGCATATCTAAACTCAAAAACAGGTCTTAGATGTGGCGGCTGCAATAGTTTTCTTTTATTTTCAGGCTTTTTGCCTTTTATATCACCCGGTAATCCTGAAAATGACACACTTCATTGTGTCTAAACACATTTCTTTATTGTATATATGGAGTGAGCCATGGCTGTTGCTGGACTTTGGTTATCTCCTTTACATGACAGAGTGATGGTTCTAATAATTGAAAGAAGAAAGATCCTTTCGCCTCACATGAAGTGATAAGGACACTGCATTTCGGGCAAGATCAACAGGTATTTGCTATATTTGCTAAAAATGTTATTGTCTGAAAAGGAAAACTAATGCAGCCACTACATCTAAGGACTGGTAAGCTGCAACATTTTACTTGTTTTAAGGTTTAGACACAACAATCAAATTGCATCAGTTAAGTATTGTTATATGAGCTTATCAGGCATCACCATGACACATGCGCAATGTATATAAAGTGTTCATGCCTCCTACAAACACTGTGACTCACCATAATGGCAGTTCTCTTATTTAGGGTATCCTTTGTGCACAGCTTATTCTTCTTTAGTACATCAATCCCAATGATGGATTTGTGTAGTACAGCCTCTGTTCTTTCTGATTTGCTATGGGATTGTTATGATAGGTTACCGAAACTGAAACATAATTAAAGTGACACAAAACTCAGGAGTTAAATCTTAAAAATGCATTCAAGTACCTAAACTATTAACAAAAATGTATTTTATTTGTGTATCACTCAGCTGTAGATGCTCAAAACATCTCTGAATTGGTGCTTGCATTTTTTAAGATTTAACTTCTGAATTTAGTGTCACTTTAACATTTCAAAGAAGCAAAAGAATTGGAAGCCAGTGGGATTAGTTTATAACTAGCAAAAAGAATGTGCACATGGGCTGGGCAATTCACTTAAAAATACAAAAGGTCCCCATCACTCAGTCCAGCTAGTCACCACAAAACTCCTAATTTAACTACTTTACCATTTAGGTTAAAAACAGGTTGGTTTTTTTTGCATACATTCACAGATACATTTAAAGCGGCACTGCTGTGACAAAGGACCTCTGCAATGCTCAGACAGTGACACCATAATACCTTGTGAAGTAGAAATAAAAAGAAAACTTAACCAAATAATTGAGCTCATAAAGAGGGCTAAAGAGTTCATAATATTAAATCAAGACAACTTACTGAGTTCTAAGTTTGGACCTATATATACTGTATAGCAATGCATAAAATGAGAGCAGACATGTTTGTATTGTTCAATTAAAAACATACTTTTCCTCACTGTCCTCTCATATAGTCATTTTCATTGTTGTATATATTGTTTTTCTACAATATGTATAGTTTGAAAAAAAAACAACAACAACCTCCCCTTGCAGTGGTGCTGTCCCAGGACTGCAAGGGTTAACTGCTTGATTTGGTCTAGGGGTATTGTGTAAAATACTTTTCCGTACTGGATCCCTGCTCACGCTGGCTACAAGACTGGCACCAACGCCCTCTTTCCCCTGAGCTCTGGCGGTCAGAAGCCCTCTGGTGTCATTAAGTACAATAGTCCTGCATTATAGGTGACAGTACAGAATACGAGCCAGAACGGAGGGGAAAGATATGAGCTCCGACTGCCAGGGAAGTGGGGATCAGGTAAGTAAAAGTCCTATACACACTATTCCTAAACATAAACGAGCAGTTAACCCTTAGAGAGCAAGGGCAGCACTACTGCAAGGGGAGTTTTTTCACCGGAGATAGGATTCAAGCATAAACGAATTGGAAAGGTCGATCAAGAAGCATACTTTTAGGCAACAGACTCTAACACCAGACTTTTCCATGGAAAGCATAGGTGGCTGATACACATGTGTCTCTTCATTTGGGGGGAGACGGGGAGTTGTGTTCTCTCCTTTGATCTGACATGCCTCGCACACACTTTAGTCTTTAATAAGTCAAAGTGAAATGTGTGCAGTAACTAATAGCCAGTTTTATTATTCCAAGCACTCTAATCTTGTTATGAGATACTACAAAGTGCCAAACAAGTAGATATGCTGTGTTGATACACTGAATCCTGTTGTCTCATGGTTGTGCCAAGTAAACCATCACCATACGAGCATGCCACCAAGTTAAATATGGTAAACAATGATCAGGCTCAATGTTCAGCCTTCCTTTCAGCTTTAACTTGATATTCATTGGCTATGATGGTTATTTGTTAGCATACACATGACACAAAGTCTGGTCAGTCCAACGGGGCAGAAAAGTGCCATTTGTGACATGCCTTAAAGGTTGACCTACCCCAGTAGATAAAGTAGAACCTCTGATAATATGGAAGCACAGCTGAGAATGTACTGATATTTTTAAGTTCATTTCATTCATTGTATTAGGAAATTGGTAACCAAAGAGAAAGGCCTTATAACTGTAACTGTGCCTTCAAGGCAGCATAGATGTCCATGCACTGTTCTTTCTTTAACTTGTAGCTCTTATTATGTACTATGCTGTTCCAGAGGTGAGGTGGATCTTCAGCAAGTATGTATTTTACAATAGCAGTAATCATTTTATTTTGGACACAGTGTGGTACTATTTTGTGTCCTTTGGATGTAAATATAAATTAAAATATAAAAATAATAACATAATACTGTAGGTTGCAGCTTTAATAAAACACCAATGTAATGTAAATTGGAAAGGTGGAAGTGTGGAATTGTTCAAGAAACGTTTGAATGATTTCCTGAGGGACCGTAATATACAGGGGTACACATACTCCTAAGAATGAGATGATACATGGACCTATATAGGTTGGACTGGATGGACTTGTGTCTTTATTCAACCTCAAATACTATGTAACTATATAACTATGGAAGTGACATCTAAATGTTGTTACTTCCACCTTTCAAATGCTCTAATTTACAATGGTCTTTTCTTAAAGTTGAACGTCAGCC